CAAACGTGTCATTGAATTGTTTATGAAGCAACTAAGTTCAAGTGTCTAAAGGCAATTTTACAAATAATGTGTCTTTAGCAATGTTATTAGATTGAAGCGACTAAGCAATGTTGTGAAAGTATGATGATCACAACTTGACTGAGTGACGTTGTTCAATTCGTTTCCCGGTGGGAGGGGAGGGGTGTGTTTGTGTAGAGGCGGGATGAGTTTTTTAAAACTTCCCTCACGTTTCAGGCTTTCTCGGCCGATTTTCAACATCTTATACTACAGCTTTAAGGAAAGTTACAGAAACTGGGGAAGGAGGGGTTTACGATGCCGAAGAACTGTATAGATGTTTTATGGAATCAAACAGGAATTCTGTTTTTGAGCTGGGTAGCTGCGGCTGTGTGAAAAGAGTCCTCAGAGAATAAACCTTTTCTCTTTATTATAATTTTGCCTCTTGAAAGTTTCTTATACCTTTTGATGCTGTTTATATTAACCTCTGAAATTTGCTATTGCTATATATATATATATATATATATATATCATGGTCTGCATTTTCATTGTAATGCATGACTGCAAGGTACAACCTAAAGTAAATGAATAAGATCAAATGTAAGTAAAAGAAATGATATATTTGGAATTTGATCTTATTCATTTACTTTAGGTTGTACCTTGCAGTCATGCATTACAATGAAAATGCAGACCATAAGCAGGCAACAACATCAGCAGGACAAGCTATGTACAGGGTCGATTTCCCAAAGTCAAAGGAGGGTGAATACACTGCCACTTTAAACAGCACAATTAGATGGTATGTTATAAAATGAATTTTATTTAAACACATCTACAAATACACTTTACACATAGTGACACATTTGAGATGTTCTAAAGGGGTAGGTTGTATATCAAAATGAATGAATATAATATAAATTTCTTCTGTATGCTATGCTTTACAGAAAATGTGAATGAACTGATGAAGCTCGTCTTTGAACAGGTGTTTGCAGAACCCACACCATTTGCAGGAGAGCTAAACATTTAACTCAGTTTGAGAAACCTTTAACGGAGGAAGATATTGTCCACCATGTCTCAAGCTTTAGTCAAGGGGTGGTCGAAATCCAACAAACTGTCCATCCTGATCAGGAAACTCCTGCTGAATCCGGAGCACAACACAGGATGGAAGAACAACCCTGATTTTCCGTCCTAAATAGCCCCAGCACCAGCTGACGAAGCTTCGTTGGGCGACAGAACGGTACCGCCTGTAAAGAGAGTGGTGGACACAATAAACATGCAAGATAAAACTGTCAAAAAATATGTACATATATTCAATTATTTGAGATACAATTAATTTTTTCTTTTTTTTCTAATATTTTGAAGAAAAGCATTCATGTCTTAATTAGTTTTTTTGCAGTGGTGTCATGAAATTAAATTTATATTGGTTTACAAAATAAAGTAATAAAATGGTATAAAAAGACTTACGCTTCTTCAGTTCTACGCTTCAAATTTCCATAATCAGCTTTGTAAATGTTTAAAATGTTCTGCAGGGTGTAAGGATTCAAACAGTTCGGTTCGAAGCCTGGGTGGTGTGTGATGCATTTCAGAGGCCCTGAAACCTGATTCATTCGTCTTAAAACCTAAGGAAGACAAGCCACCAACTATTTATAATACTGTCAAAATTACAAGAGTAAAAGCAACTCATTTCATCTCATCAAATGACATCTTTCTTTAACCCTTGTGCATCGTTATGGACATTTGTTTCTTTTTTAGTTTAGTGAACATTTTGCCTGTGCACAACTTTTGCACTAGGTACACCCAGGACCTTAAAGGAGTAGTTCACTTTTGAAAAAACTTTTGCTGATAATTTACTCACCCCCATGTCATCCAAGATGTCCATGTCTTTCTTTCCTCAGTCGAAAAGAAATTAAGGTTTTTGATGAAAACATTCCAGGATTTTTCTCCATTTAACTTCAATGGGAACCAGACGGTCCAAGGTCCAAACGACAGTTAATAACAGTTTCAGATGCAGCTTCAAATGTCTTTAAACGACACCAGACGATGTATAAGGGTCTTATCATGCGAAACGATCGGTTATTTCAAAACTTATTCCAAAAATGTAACTTTTCTAAGGACAAATGCTAGCATTGCTCCATTGTGTGAGGCGCGTTTGTAACGTCACGTAATACGTAATTACGTTCAAAAGGTCACGGGCGACGTAGCTAGAAGTACAGAGTCAGAGTGTTTACAAGTTGAACGCATAGGTTGAACGTGCAAACTAACTCAAACGCCGTTTACAAAAAAGGAATTAAAAGGTAAAACAACGATGTCGGACGATTTTGATTCTGTACTTCCGGCTACATCGCCCGTGACCTTTTGAACGTAATTACGTATTACGTGACGTTGCAAACGCGCCTCACAGAATAGAGCAAGGCTAGCATTTGTCCTTAGAAAAGTTACATTTTTGGAATAAGTTTTGAAATAACCGATCGTTTCGCATGATAAGACCCTTATTCATCGTCTGATATCGTTTAAAGACATTTGAAGCTGCATCTGAAACTGTTATTAACTGTCTTTTGGACCTTGGACCGTCTGGTTCCCATGTAAGTCCATTATATGGAGAAAAATCCTGGAATGTTTTCATCAAAAACCTTAATTTCTTTTCGACTGAGGAAAGAAAGACATGGACATCTTGGATGACATGGAGGTGAGTAAATTATCAGCAAAAGTTTTTTCAAAAGTGAACTAATCCTTTAAAGGGATACTTCACTTTGAAATTAATTTTTGATATGTTTTAGCTTACCTCGAACTGATCTGAATCAGTTGTCCAACTGAACCGAACTGAACGTCTCCAACATTACGCCGGAAGTGATCTCTCTCTACGTCACGCAGTTCGGTTCAGTTGGACTTCTGATTCAGATCAGTTCGACGGCTGTTAACAAGAGGTAAAAACTATATAAATACTGTTGATTTTCTCACACAAACCGCTCGTTTCGTGTCTTAGGCCATCAATGTTTACTTACATTTACAAGTCATTAAATCATGTTTAAGTTTGACTTCTCTGTGCATGCTCTTTGAGGTGGACCCCCATACCCTGCATTATATGACTGACAGACAACAGCGGTTTGACAGAAAAATATCAAAATTGAAAATGCTGTGGAAACAAAGACACCTACATCTTGGATGCCCTTAAGGTAAGATAAAACATATCAAAAATTAATTTCAAAGTCAACTATCTCTTTAAGGACAAAAATGTTCCCATTAAAATGGCAATATTTAATCCCATGTTTTCATTCGAGCGAGTGACGCGAACAACAATCTGAACATCCCACGAGTAGATCATCCCTTGAGTACATCTAGAGCAATTAACGTCATTTTCACGCAAAGAAAGCGACATAGTAAACAACAATGGATGACAGACAGCAGATCTTGTTCTTGCTTCTCGGCATGTTTGTCACAAGAAACAAACGCTGGCATTAGGCGTTTATTAATACCAAGTAGCCTACACAAAGCCGACTCAGCCAGGATGACTCCAGAGGACGCGAGTCCAGTAATCCTGCTAATGGACCAGCGTGTTCTTGAATGCGCCACTCAGCTCGCTCTGCTACTCTGGTTATCTCAGGGTACATTTTAGGCAACAATTAAACGAAATATGTTATAAAACACCACTCTGCTTCTTTTCGATTTCATTTAAATACATTTTAAACATTATAAGCACAAAAAATGTGGTTCAAAGCATAGCCTATTGATTATATTCACTGCATGTATGTAAGCAACTAAATATAAAACACAACCCTGCCTCTTTGTTTGAATTTAAAAATATGAAACATATTCCAGGCAATTTGAAATGTATTGTATATCGCATTAGTACAAATGTTGCAATAAACAACATTATAGATGATCTTGTAATAAAATAAAAAAAAAATGACAAAACTATCTCTTTTTGTTGAATTTCAGTTTTATCAATAATATCCATTATAAAAGTATAAGTAAAAGGTACAAAAAGCTATACAGTAAAGCTTTAATAACATAAAGCAAACAATTCAGTTAAACATACAAATTCAGCGCTCAAATATATGAAACTTCACGTAGCCTTCTGCCAAAACTATTGGCCAGGGAACGAATTATAGATTCACGAGACCAAAGATCACCTGTTGGGTTTATACAAGACGAATTAGATCTCACGTTTAACCACTACAGCGACGTCCGAGTCAGCGGCAAACATCAGAACGACTAGCCGAGGAAAGGCTGTTCCAGGCGGGGGACACGAGCGCGAGCGTCCGGTGATCGCTTGGAATGGATCTCAGTCAAATTATCATTAATCTATAAATAAACCACAGATTTCAGCTTTAAAAACTATATTCTCACCTGAAAACTTTTAAAACTACATTTTGTGACACAATAACAGTAGTATTATTTCAACTATATATTAAAAAAATGGCCTTGTAGCACGCACAAGTGACGATACTCTGTCAACCAATCACCGTTCTGCAGTGAGTCTAGCTCCACCTTTTAGTACCGAACCATTGTGCTAGGTACCCCAACGGAAGGGTACCCAAAAAGTGGTACGGTACGGTTTGGCTTTTTGCTACCATTCACAACTTTTGACAGTGCAAATGCAAATAATTGCTTACCGTAACAAACTGTACCGTACCGCTTAGTGGAAACGAGCCATATCTCTTTTTCCTTGTTTTCTCCAGTGCATAGTGAACAAAAGAACACACTACAATATGTAAATTAACAGCTCTGGAGAGAGAATGGATGATTTAAAGTGTTGCCTAATGTTCAAGTTCAGATTGTGTGTATAGTGAGATTGATTTGTTTTGCAGATTCGCATGAAACAGTTAGTGTATGCATGAGTCACTAAGGCAGGATTTCTCAAATTTTAGCTTTTAGATTTCAAAGTTCTCAGGATACAAACAATTACTGAACTTTTCATCTGTCATGTGAAACTGGGTCATGTGGAAAGTGACCATGTCACTTGAAGTGTCTTTGCATGAAGTTTTACTTGAGGGCAGAGCAAATAAGGTGTGGCCCCTTTAAGATCTGTGCGCTCCTTGTTGAACTGTCGGCAGTATTGTATTGTGTGTGCCGTGTGCCTCAAACACCCCTTTTACGGTCTATGCGACCACCCTATGTATTTGGGTAATTCCAGTTTGATGCTAATTTTTATCTTATTTTGTTTATTAAGTAACGAATACACAAGTTCGATTTGGGAATAAAGTGCGAGTTGTGAGATGCCAATCGCCTCCGTGAGTCTGTCTGGCCTCTGCATGCAATAACTTCAGTTGTGTGCTATCCCTATTCTTCCTGAAGCAACATGTTAACTGTAGCCTACTTCAGTTTCTGTGCGGGGACACCGCCTTCACCTGCCATCATGTCTATCGCCTCGCTTTCGGGTTAAACTTTCCGCGACTGCACAACTGGGCTATAGGTTGCCAGGTTGAGGAGACAAACGGGTTGAAATTGTACATGGTCTGTGGATTGTCTGAATATAATGCATTTAATCAAATCTGTTAACTGGTCAACATTCATATTGGCTCGATTATTAAAATGGTGAATCTATTTTTCTTTTGTTGCTTGAATATTAAGGAGACATTAGTTTATTACCCACTGTCACTTTAAGACATCAGATCATGTCCAATGACATACGGATCCAATTGCACTGATGCACATCCGATACACTCACAACTGTTTAAGACATAACCGACAGTTTACTCGAATACTCTCCAAAACGGACATTTAAACAAAATGTTGTGTATTTGTCCATTCAAACACGAAAGAGCGCTCAATTCAGTCCTTGCGTGCTGTGTATTGTGCATGGCTGCACGCTTCATGTTCATCTACCCGCGGGGTAGATCAGCACGTTACAGTACAAATGTGCACATCTACAACAAACGCAGGACATCAGTTCTGACTGGATCGCTACTAGGGTTGGGTATCGAGAATCGAGTATCGATTGGAACCGGGACTAACTTTTCATTTTTCCCGGAATCGTTCAAAAGTTAAAATTTCGATTCCTAGTTTCGATATTCACAGTCCGCCGACCGGAAGAAGAAACCGCTGAACAACACCAACGAAGAAGCGTCTACCGGAAGTGTTGGCATAACCGCGTGTGTCGAACATGAGTAGCTTACGTCGGCGATCCAAAGTGTGGCTTCACTTTTCTAAAAATAACGAAATCTCGGCAAAATGCTAAATTTGTGACAGAAGGAGTATTTCCTTCAGAAAGACCGTTGGTTAGCAAGGTTAGCTAAACTGTTTTGACCCTGCCTCTTAAAAGAATCGGAATCGAGAATCGTTAGGAACCGGAATCGAAACAAGAAATCAGAATCGGAATCAGAATCGTTCAAATTCAAACGATACCCAACCCTAATCGCTACCCAGATCATCACTATCTAACATTTGCATCTAGTTTTTATTCATTGACGAAAATGTCAATATATTTTTTATTTAGTTATCGTCTCGTTTTCGTCTGTGAAAAAATGTCAATGGCGAATCATTTTCGTCATTATTTTCATCAATGAAATTAACACTGGTCTGGGATCATCACTTGTCAAGTTCTGAAAGCATGGTTCAAGTCATGTTCCTCCTCATTCGCTCATTCATTGTAGACATTTTAGCCTAGCAATATAGCTTATAGATAACGTAAGTAATCTCTATAATATTATAGATAACTGTAGTCTGGTTTTATTTGCTTATTTCTGATCAACAAATAATCTAGAAATTATTATGTGCAAACACCGCTACTGAGGTGACCGGATGGACCTTTCTGTTGACAGTTGGGAGAGATCACAATAAACCACAGGATATTTACCAAAAAAATAATGCAAAATTCAGTGTGGTCATGGTCAATACGACCGTCTATGGCCGAAATAGTTAAAAATGTTCTTGTTTAATTTGTTTTGCCTTACGTTTACACAACTTAATTTACATGAAAAGAATTTTATATGAAAATACAGACTTTTAGGAAAAGTCAGGTACCAGAAGGATTTTATTATTTTTTTCAACAAAGTTATTGTAGATATAAAATTCAAAACGGTCAAAATGACCGTTATGCAGAGGCGGACTGAGTACACAGCTTTATTACTTGAGTAAAAGTACAGATAACCCTTGCTAAATTTTACTCAAGTACAAGTAAAAGTACTACAATCAGATCTCTACTTAAGTAAAAGTACTGAAGTACTTGTTTTTAAAAGTACTTGAGTATCAAGAGTACATTTTCTAAATATTGCATTACAACTGCCACAGTGCTTGCATTTACTGTATGTACAGAAACGTCCTAAACGGAGTTATGAAAAATGTTAATGTCAGTACCTTGGAGAATGTAAAAGGAATTGAGTGTAAAAATCAAGTCATATTCATCTTTTTACCATGTTGCTTTATTTAACTTTTAAGAAAATTTCAGAAAATTCAGAAAATTGAAATAGTCTGGGGAGGTGGAGCCACGGGTTGGCACATTCCCTGGATAGACCTGCTGCGTCTTCATCCATTGTTTTGTCCATGGTTTCGTCTCTTATCTAAATCTGACCGAGTTGACTTTGGCGCAAAACAGAAGGTGATTGCTGATAGGCTGTCCCAATCAGTGGCGCTTGCACAATCCAATCACGTTTGAGAGAGAAACAACAAATTGAGGGTTTCCGAGATTTTTCTTCTTTCCATTTTTTTTTTTTTTTTTTACAAGTAGTTACTTTTTACTTACGGTTATGGATAGAAATGTAGTGAGTACAATATTCTCAAATGTACTTAAGTATAGTCACGAGTACTCCCCAAAAATGATACTCAAGTAAAGTACAGATCCTTCAAAATTGTACTTAAGTATTGTACTCTAGTAAATGTACTCTGTTACTGTCCGGCTCTGCCGTTATGACCATTCTAGTGTTATAAATTGACACACAAGGGTTAAATCATGTGTATGTGTTCGTGTGTGAACATTTTCCAAATAGAAGATTGGTTTAAATACACACACACACACATATATATATACTGTATACACATACATTTGTCTTTATGTAGTAATTGATTTATTGCAGTACCTTTGGTATTTCCACGCAGCAGACATTTTCAACTCCAATGGGCATCCGATTACAGTTTTCACATCTGCACCTAAATAAACCAGTTTGTTTTTAAACTGTATTTTATGTTATCTCTTCAGGCAGTGGCGTGCACAGCCCTCCTCAGGGGCAGGAAGGACCAAAAAGGGCAACAACAAAAAAAGAAGAGTTCCTTTTTCTATCCTTTCTTTCATTCCTTGGCATTTTAGGAAAAGATGTTGATACAAGAAGAATGCATAACACATCAAACGAAAATGGGGATACAATGATAATATTGCCAAATATTATTTACTTTACCAAACAAAACAGTGAGAATCAAGTCTTCATTTTCAAGAATATTTTTGGTGATGTTGAAAAATGTATGTTTTGTGCATAAAAGTGTTAGCTATCATGAAATCAGTCACACTTTACAATAAGGTTTCATTGATTCAGTTTGTTAACATGAACTGTGCGTCCACCCCATTTATTAATCTTAGTTCAAATTAATTTCAGCATTTACTCAAAACATTGATAACATTAGTTAATGCACTGACTGACATAACATGAACAAACAATTAACAGTTGTATTATTATTATATAAGATTAACAAATGTGTTGCTCATGGTTAGTTTAAATGGATAATACACAAATTAACCTTATAGTAAAGTGTTACTATGAAATCAAATATATAAATTCCTTATAATTTAGAGTTGGACTTAAGATTTCATATAGATGTAGGACATGAAGTCGTTGCAGTAAAGAAGATAAATTAAACAGTTATAATAATACATCTAAAAAGGTAAGTGATAACTTACCACTGTGAAACGTTCTGCTGAAGTCGCGCTAGGAAAGGTTCCGATTCATCCTGTTGGTCATCAGCATCAGGATCCGACTCAGGCTCAAACTGATATGGTTTAAATACTGATGACATAATTATTAATGTATTAGTATAATTGTCATTATAATTGCTTTGTAAGCTAAAGCACACAATTATGGAAAGGGGGCATTACGAACTGAATCAGCTGGCCAATCAGAGCACACTGCGCTTTTTGGAAGGAGAGGCTTTGTAGAAGTCAGTGCATTTTAGAAAGAGGAGCTACAATAATGTACAGTATAGGGGCTTTCGCACCGGATAGTTCTAGGAACTAGCCACCAGGGTGCATCCTCAAGAACTAATGGTTCCCTTAGGAACGTTTTCCTGGTTGCATTCGCACCGCCAGGTTATTAGATAGCGCTGTTATACATAGAAAGTAGACCGTATATGATAAGGTATTAGCGCATGCCTTGTTGATATCCAGGGATGATAGCTGTGATAATTTGAAAGCAGAAATACATAATCATGTTTCTCTTGGTTCCCTCAAAGTCATGTTGGATTTTCTACTCAGTGTATAGGTTAAGATATGGAAGCTTGTTTCCGCCACTGAATAAAAAAATAAAAAAATAATTGCGACTTTTGATCTCACAATTGCGAGATATGAAGTCAGAATTGCTTAATATAAAGTCAGAATTGGGTGATATAAAGTCAGAATTGGGAGATATAAAGTCAGAATTGGGTGATATAAAGTCAGAATTGGGTTATAAAGTCAGAATTGGGAGATATAAAGTCAGAATTGGGTGATATAAAGTCAGAATTGGGTGATATAAGTCAGAATTGGGTGATATAAAGTCAGAATTGGGTTATAAAGTCAGAATTGATATAAAGATATTTTGATATAGAGATATAAAGTCAGAATTGGGTGACATAAAATCAGAATTGGGTGAAATAAAGTCAGAATTGGGTGATATAAAGTCAGAATTGCGAGATATAAAGTCAGAATTGTGAGATATAAAGTCAGAATTGGGTGATATAAAGTCAGAATTGCAAGATATAAAGTCAGAATTGGGTGATATAAAGTCAGAATTGGGTTATAAAGTCAGAATTGATATAAAGATATTTTGATATAGAGATATAAAGTCAGAATTGGGTGACATAAAATCAGAATTGGGTGATATAAAGTCAGAATTGCGAGATATAAAGTCAGAATTGTGAGATATAAAGTCAGAATTGGGTGATATAAAGTCAGAATTGCGAGATATAAAGTCAGAATTGGGTGATATAAAGTCAGAATTGGGTTATAAATTCAGAATTGGGTGATATAAAGTCAGAATTGGGTGATATAAAGTCAGAATTGTGAGATATAAAGTCAGAATTGGGTGATATAAAGTCAGAATTGTGAGATATAAAGTCAGAATTGGGTGATATAAAGTCAGAATTGGGTTATAAATTCAGAATTGGGTGATATAAAGTCAGAATTGGGTGATATAAAGTCAGAATTGATATAAAGATATTTTGATATAGAGATATAAAGTCAGAATTGGGTGACATAAAATCAGAATTGGGTTATAAAGTCAGAAATGCGAGATATAAAGTCAGAATTGGGTGATATAAAGTCACAATTCTGAGAAAAAAGACAGAAGTGCGACTTTTTATCTCACAATTCTGACTTTTTTTTCACACAATTGCGAGTTTACATCTCACAATTCTGACTTTATAACACATAATTGCGAGTTTATAAGTAGAAATTCTGACATCTATTCTCAGAATTGTGAGATATAAACTCGCAATTGTAACTTATAAGGCCAATTCTAAGGGGAAAAAAAGACGAACTTTTTCCCCTCAGAATAGTTAAAATCTCACAATTCTGACTTTATATCTCGCATTTCTGACTTTATAACACGCAATTGCGACTTTATATCTCGCAATTCTGACTTTATATCTCGAAATTTCTGACTTTATATCTCGCAATTCGGACTTTACATCTCGCAATTCTGAGAAATAAAATCAGAATTGCGAGATAAAAAGTCGCAATGAACTTTTTTATTTTTCATTCTGTGGCGGAAACAAGCTTCCATATTAAGAGGCCCATCTGTCACAGTTTTCCATGTTCGCAGAGTTAGTTATTGGAGTCAATATATATAATAACTGTTTCCACAGCTTTTTTTAAAATGGCAGGTGCTGCTGTTTCGCACGCATTCGAAAAAATGTTGAAACTTCTAATGTTACTCAAATTATTTGTTTTAAGCTTCTTCTGTATTATTCTTTCCTAAATTGATGTCTGACTCCATGTCATAATATGTAGGCTATGTTCAATTCTGAAGTAGGATCTTCTTATGTTCACTTGAAGGCGGCATTAGTATTTGACTGATCATGAAATCTCAATGTCCACATGAGGGACCCGCTCAATATCAAAATTAAAAAACACTTTAACTAGGACACTCATATGACACTCTTCAAAAGGTATTATTTATTTTATTTTATTTTATTTTTAGAGGAGGATACTTTAATGGGGTTCAAATTACCGAGTTCAGCTTTGAGAATGAAACCAACCTGTTTGTCCCACAGTGAATGCATCTTCAATCATCATGTCTTCACTTTCCTCTTTAGTAAATGTTTGTTCTTTAGTTTCTTCTTGTTTCACAGTGAATGCTTCTATCTTCGTTTCTTCACTCTCCTCTTTAATAAACCCCATCTTTGTCTGATCCTCGGTGTCTTCTTGTTTCACAATGAATGCTTCTATGTTCATTTCTTCACTCTCCACTTTAATGAATGTCATCCTGGTTTGTTCCTCAGTTTCTTCTGGGTTCACACTGCACACTTGTTCAATCTTGATTTCTTCACTCTCCTCTTTAACAAATGCCATATCTGTGTCACTTCAATTTGTCCTGTTTGAGATGAGAATAATTAACAGCAAGAAAAATTAATCCAAACTAAATCTCTGGGTCTCAATCAGAGGGATTACCCCCAGCAGTACAAATGATTACAGTATTATATATTTTTGCTTTGAATCCAATAAACCTCTATTGTGATTGTACTGTAGTGTTTTGCATCAATATATCATACACTTTGTTCAATGATTCCACTGTGTATTATTCTCTCTACTACTGCAGTACTTTTACAGAGATGTATATTACTGCACATGTAGTACCATAATGAAACTTGTATCATCTATTTTGTTCTACAATATTTAATGATAGTACAAACAATGACTCAGTGAAACTATCGGTTACTTGTGTGTTGGTATAGTTATGTTTCAATGGTGTTTCACAGTAAATTTGTTTTTTTTGAACCAATGATTGTGCAAGTGCAAGATTTCTTTAAAGATGTGAATGTTTTGACCATTAGACAGCCTGTGTTACAAGTGATAACCGTTTGAGTTTTGAAAAATGACATCAAGGTTCAGAAAACATAGCAAAGAGATTGTAAAAACTGTAATAATAGAACACATATTATACATAAAAGTTTAAACTTGGTACGATTATATTATAGTTAGATTACCTACTTACTGTCTACCGGTCAGCATGCGGTGATTCGAGCTATTTGAATCAATGATTCGTTTCGTATTGAATATGATTCAATTGACTCGGAGTATCAAAAAGATCCATTATCCCTTGATAACTTTCTCCATTGAACGAATTTGTTTTACGATAATTTGATTCACGATATACGGCGCTTTTTATTACTCATGTGTGGATGCACTTAACTCACCAAATAAACGTTAATTAATTACAGATAAACAATGCGATGGTACATTTAATGCAGAATACATCATTTAAGATCGTTTGTAATAATTATAAAAATCGACTGAACGAATTGTATCGATTCAAACACGTGAAATGCTTAAAAATACAAACCTTTCTTCTGAGGGATGATCACAACGCTTGCGGCGCAGACTTATGACATCACACAGTCAGACCCAAAATAGAAGTCCCGTTCACACGTTGCTGTCTAAAATATCAAAATTCAAAGAAAAGTACATGCAAAACACACACATAGTAAAAATAAATAAGGTATTTATATTATTCAATTCTTAAGAAATGAAAATACATGTTGTCTAGTGCACTAAACGAGTTTGTATCACTTCTCATATGTAAGATGCAAAATAAGTCATGTTTAGGTGCAGAAACAATTTTTACCAGGGGTTGGTAACTTCTTTTTCAGTGACAAGACATATTAAAATTAATGTTTAGATGCATTTTTCTAAACTGCCATAGCAAAAACTATAATTATTATATAAAAACAATGTTTTTTTAAATAAATTAAAACCATTATTAGGGCCACAGACAAAATGAACTGATAATCGGAAAAGAAGACATGTGGTTTCAGAGAGAGACAGAGAAAGAAGAGAGCAGGGAGAGGATGGACAGACTCTTCTCTCTACTTGAGTGATTTTTTTTAGAAATATATTAAATGAAACAAAATTGAGTCTTTGTTAAAATGCATTGTTTTATTTACAGAAAAACAGAGTTCGAGAACACAGAAAAACAAATAACACAAAATTAAAATTGACAGTAACAGGAAAAAATGAGCCACCACAGATCCTGGAATCCTCCATAATGTATGCACTGTGTTCATGGGTATAACGTGAGCAACACACGACTATTATAACCAAATCACATTTGTTTTCATATTGAATATCACAACATACATTTATTATTCAATCTAGCACTTTCAAATATGACAACTTATACTAAATAATAATACATTTATAGTTTATAAATATAACATATATAAAAACTCATTAATGTGTTAAATACTGTATATTAATATAATTTAAGTGTCATCAGTGTTTGATGACATTTCACCCGAATGAATAAATTTTGTCCAATGAAGTGAACACAGAATAGAGACCCTCAATCGGAGCGCAGCTCCTGTAGATTTATGGAGTAAAAATTCTTGACTGATTCATTTTAGCATTTATTTGCATACATTTACTATTACATATCTGATCAATCTCATCATGATTTAAGTTTGTGTCGCTACAAGTCTAAATCAAAATCTCTTGCTGCTAAAATAGGTCATTCATTGAAGGTGCGCCTTATAATCCGGTGCGTCTTAAAGGTGCATTGCGCAACATTTCATGTTAAAAATAGCCGTTTTCTAACCCATACATGTTTAAACAATCGCCTGATGGGCTGAATGAGCCCTTCTCTGATCACTGCGATCGCCTCTTTAATCCTGTACAGTGAAATATATAAGAGGGATTCGGGCTCGAATCTGAGACTGGCAGTGTGACATGCGCGTTCACGCTCACCTGGCTTTGTGCCTATGTCTTGCAGGTTAGTGTATTCGCCGCCATTCTCCGTATCAGAGAAGACAATGCAAGCGACACATTATGACTAAAGATGTGTGCCGCACAGTGTGCGGCTGATGCTCCTTTGGTTATGAACAGCTAGTGCAAACGTGCGTATATGTGTGTGTGTTCCATGAGTGCGCACGCAGTTTCGCTTGTCGCCAGAGGGGGCGTAGTTCTGCAAAAACTCAGATACTTGAGATTTGCACCTTTAACAAATGAAAGTGATTTTCTGTCTAAAAGACAAAACTGTATGTTTGGTTGCAGAAAACATTTATACCAGATATAACAGTATTAAAATGTTTTTTTTTGTAACATTAAAAATGTGGATATGTAAAGTTCATTTGAGTCAAAAAAATATCTGAAAATAGATATAAAATGTTAACAACAAAAAAAAAAGGATCTTCAAAAATATCTGTATAAGATAAATTAAAGAGGCTATTAAAATACCATCTATAAATGTAATTCAGTCGATACCAAAAATTATTGATAAAAAGTTGTATTGAAATTATTATTGAGTATTTCATATATTTTTGATCAAGGGTCAGTTGTATAAGTTGCTGCCTATGTAGGATGATTCAAATCACTCACTAATGAGTGAACTCTGACAAAATTTTTCGCCTGCTGAACAACAGAAACCTTCAGTTTTCTCAAAAAATAAATAAATCACATTTTAATTGGACTTCACAGGAGTCTTAAGGGAGATTCTTCTGTAGATCTTCTAGACAAGGAGCTGAAAACTATCCCAAAATAAATGACCGTATCAGAAATAAACATATCTGAAATTGTATTATTTATTTATTGATATATAATAAAGATGCAAACACTCTAGACAGAACTTTTCCCAAACATTTTCTGTTGAAAATAGAGCCTAGAAAATCACTGCTGACAGTTTGACAGATACAGATAGATTTAGTGATGGTTAATTTGTCTACGCTCATTTGTATATGTATATCATCCTATGTATTATATATCATCCTCAATTTCATACATCAAATCAAATTAATAACTAATATGCGGATTATAAATATCTAACATTGTGTATATATAGTATACAGTGCCAATATGTACCTCAATAGCATTTAGTTTTTCCCGGAATTAAGCCCATTAGAGCAGAAGTGCACAAACGTTTTACAACTGACTTGAGGTCCGTGGGCAGAGAGTAAAAGTTGCATTATATCAAACTATTATATTAAACCTTAAGTGGTTAAAGGACAAGTTCGACATTTTTACACTTAAAGTCCAGTTTTAAGATCGTGTCTTATTAAATAGAACGGTTAAGATTGAAATTTGGACACATGCTGCTGGCCCGAGAATTTCTTAATTTTTTTTAGTTTTTCACTAAATTAATTGCAATCGCAAAAAATTGTTTGGGACTGCTACGCAATAGCCTTAACCTACACTGTTTATTTATCAGTGTTAATGATATTCTTACAATTTATGTGTATCTAAGGCAAAGTGTGTGTGTGAACCATTTTTGAGCAATAAATTTGCCATATTTTAATGACCACGTGAAAATGTTGGTCACATGGCCAAACCAGTTAAGAACCACTGCTCTACAGTTTATTTAGCAAGGAGAGGCCACAAGACAAACTGCTTTGGATTGTTTATTGCACCAAATTCATTTTAAAGGAAACATAAGGAATCAACAAAGAATCAACTGTGCTAATTGCTGATAAAAAAAAAAATCCTAATCTTGACCACTATTTTAAAATTAAAAAATGATGTCAGGAAGTTCAGATCCCAGATAGCAAACTGACATTGAATCAACGTGGAAATATGACATCGAAACAACGTTGATCTGACATTGTTTTGCTCATCGAATTAACGTTGAACCAACGTCAGACGCGTCATTCTTTCAAAACTAACGGAAAATCAACTTGAAATCAACGCGTTGTTTCAACGTTATGAAAGCAAACCAATTTTCGATTTTCATTTAGCTTTGAAGAATGCCGCGTCTGACGTTGGTTCAACGTTAATTCGATGAGCAAAATCAACGTTGTTTCAATGTCATGAGAGACGTCGTTTCCACGTTGATTCAATGTCAGTTTGCTATCTGGGATACGACAACAATAAATAAAAAAATGACTTGACTAAATAACCAAGAAAAATAACCAAGAAAATAAATGAAATAACCAAGAAACAATGAATGCAATGTTCATTTCTTAACCCTGGTCCACGAGGAAGCACAACACATTTTGAAAGTGTCCTCTGTCTGACAGGTCCTGGTAGTTTCTCATGAACTGAATCGGGAGTTTGTGCAGGGAGAAAGGAGCAGGGTCAAGAAACACTTTATTTATGATCTCGGTTACATCACGGCAGGACAGAAGTTCAACTATATTTTGATTCAGAGGCATCAATATATGGAATTGAGGGGTGTAACAATACCTTCATGTTACGATTCGATACATATCACGATACTGAACTCATGATACGATATTATTGCGATACTGCCAAAACATATGATAAAAGATTATCAAATAAAATGCAAAATGTATAAATATTTGTGGGTGTAAATTAATAGGCTTGGACTTGGTGCGGGTAACCCAATGCACAGGACAATGTTGACATCAGAATAACAATAATCATGATTCTCAAACTGAAAATACAGAATTATTTAGACGAATATGCTTGCCCTCTGGCCACTTTTTAGACATTTGACATTATCAGGAACCACAAATATTCCCTCATATCATTATTATACATTATAATCAACATTATATACAGCAGTTTAATGTAGTACCGACACTAAAACTCTGAAAACTTGAATTTTTTTATCACAGTTATTTATAATTTTGGGTGAACCATCCACGATACATATTGTTGCATTTTTGTATTGCGATATATCGTGACACGATATATTGTTAAACCCCTAGAATTGAGTGATGCCTCAACATAGTTGAAATTATAGGACGTCTACCGCAAACGCTCAATATTTGAAACTATAGCAAAGATGACGGGTCAGGTGGGGCCAGAGGATTACACATTTATTATTATTATTATTAAGCTCCTGCATTGGGTATGGGTTCACATCCCGTCCCTGTGCGTTGAGCCGACCAGATGAACCAGTTCTTTCCAGTGCCGGCGATCTTGTGCCAGCTGCTCTGCATCCTCCATAGCGACTCCGTGTTGTTGGAGGTCACCCGCAAGGACGTCAAGCCATCGGGTGCGAGGCTTACCTCGTGGTCGTCTCCAGCCTGCAGCTCTCGGATCAAACCGATTACACATGCACATCATAAAATAAAAAGCCTGAAGTCAAAGTACAAAGAGTTGAAGGATGCAAATAATATAAGTGGTCATGAAGGTAGACAAACAGACGTGGCCCACATTCAGCTGCGCTCAATTTGACACAGATACGCGTTTTAACAAATAATACAAACAGGATGTCACATTTGCATATGTGGCTGTAACGCCGGTTTCACACTGCACTGTAAATTAGATGTGCATCACTTAATTCAACATTTTTCTCTTTTGTAAAACGCTTTTCATGGAGATAAGTGCTAATATGTAAAACTATGCAGTTCATATATAATAATAAATATAATTCAGGTATCGATAAATGGGCGTGTGCTGCTCCCACTCTCCATTCACACAGAGTGAAACCGGCGTAAGTGT